TAGCGACTTTATTTTTATTAGGGGCGCCTTGTTACTGCGTATACTTGCAGCACCTAATTAGCACCTAATTCCTTGCTATTAATATTTATCGTACATCTAATAAATTCATTGCGTTGCTAGCGAGACATTTTGCTAGCAACGCAAATTTCAACAGTTCGTTGCGGTGAAAATTTTAGAGCACCTAATTTTTTAACTTGGCACCTAATTAGCACCTAAAAAGTCCCTAATTTGGGATTTTTTCAAATGCAAATTCCCGACTTTGCGTTGCTAGCGATACACAACTATGAAATGGCCCTAGAGCACGGGCACGAAGTTACTCGACTTTCTCCCTACCACTGCCAATACAACGCTGTCGAGCTTATTTGGGCACAAATAAAAGATTATGCAGCGCATAGCAACACTGAACCACTTTTCAGCACTGGTAAAATACTGACACTGCTACAAATGTACGTGTGCAGAAGTCACTAAAGAAGACTGGAGAAAAATCGTTGAGACAACGAAGAAAATAATTATACATGATTTTGAAGGAGATTTTACACAATATTGTTAAAAATGAATTCATATTATCTCTGAGTGCAGATGGCTGTGATGACGATGACAATGCTAGATAAAATTCAGACAGTTCAAATGTATTCAGTACATGGATTTTTTTTGTTCAACTATGTACTTGTTTCACTTTATATTCTTCAAATTTGATATCATTATCTCTCTGTCTATATATATATATATAGTTCTGCCCTTTCCGCCCTTCCCAAAAAAAAACTCTTGAAATTATCAATAAAAAAAATTGAGGGTCACTTATCGGGATAAAAACTATCCTATCTCTCAAGTTGGACCAAACTGCACACAATGTACAAAATTTCATTGAAATCAGTATATGACACGTAATTTTTATATATAAAGATATATATATATATATATATATATATATATATATATATATATATATATATATATATATATATATATATATATATATATATATATATATATATACAGGGTATTTTTGGAACGCTCCCGAAAACTAAGACAGGCGACAGCACCAAGTATACCTTTGATCATGGGTTACAAATAAAGTCGATCCTGATGAAAAAAAATCATCTTTTAACAACGTTTTATTAGCTTTATTCACGCGCCATCATGTTAGTACAGCTAAATGAAACGATAATTTCATAAAAAATATCATGAAAATACTGAAACATAAAACCAGCAGTGGAAACTGAATTGATATCACCTGACTAATGGAGGTTAATGTACGCGCGAACGGTGAAAAACAAACGCTGGCCTTGAACTTGGGCACTGAGCGATTTATCACATATTGGTACGAAAGGCGCGCGACGGGGGAACAATCCGCCAGTATTAGTGTGCCTGCATGCTATTGGTTCCCGCGCTTTGTTCGCTCCAAAAATACAGTCGCATACACAACTTACTTTGCGACTCGCGACGATGTTTTAAAAAGGAAGGAAAGAAAAATTATTTATATCTATTGTTTTATGACTAAACTAGTGATCGAAAAGGTAAATATGATAGGAGAAGGTGAATGGGGAAAATTGTGCAGTAAAGTTAAAAGTGTGGAGGAAGAATACCGAAAAAATTACCATGTGATCGACCTCATGACGGAAGCTCAAGCGAAGATGAAAGTGATGATGAAGTAGCATCCAGTAACACCAACACACCATTAACATCTGGCTTCCATGTGACCCAAGACGTCTTAATGGACGGCGTGTTACCCTTAGCTAAAGTTTTCTTGTTACAAACTACTTTATATTTTACGATAGAAATAACAAATAATGCTCATGTAAACATTATCCATTTTTAATTCCCACCTCTTCCAAAGTTCTAAGTAGCTAGTAAAACACCTATTATGATTCTACATTAAAACAATTAATTACTATAATATTATAAAACAAAAGCCCAATACCATGTAGTACTTTAGAACGCGACTGTACCCACACTCCCTCCGCTATCGACCTGTATCTAGCTCGGTACGAAACAATGCTGCGGTCTTAAGAAAAAAGGGCGCATCTAACAATTTATGAATAAATGAGTTAAATATACCATTCGATTCATGATAAGAAGGCGCATCTACTAAATTTTTTTAATATTCACAAATATCAATTTCAATAAATAAATATAATATATAAATAATAATTATCGTAAGAATTTTAGACGTAACTGTTGATCACAGATGACTTTTTTTAGTAGAAAAGACTTATACAAATTCAACATAAAAGAAAAGACTTATTTAACCAGTTGCTACGTCATCTTTAACAATATTTGCATCGATTACTTAAATTTCAATTATTCTTGGTCTTGTCTTATTATTCTATATCTTATTATTAAGAGCTTATATCTTATTGTTAAGAGCTAGTGTTTCACATGTGGTCCCATATAAATTTGATCGAGGTCAGACCAATAGTTTTTGAGTTATCCTTAATTATTTATATTAAAGTCGCTTGTACAAAATTTTTAATTTTTAATTATTATCGTAGTAAGTCTTGTATGATATCCCCTTTAAAATCATTACTCAAGAGTTGCGGGTTGTTATTTTTTGTGTCTCACTACCAATGCTTTTCTAATATTTATTAAAAAAAAAGTAGTAAATTACTATTAGCGTCCTTTCAACTTCAAATGACCTTTCCAAAATATGTAAAATTGTTAAATGAATGGCAGTTTTTTTTTTAATTTATTAGGTTGGAAAGACGCAAATAGTAATATGCGTCTTTCCTTCGATGTTTTTGTGTTGCCAGGTGTATTTTTTAAGCTAAGATGAAAAGGAAAATTCGTTTTATTTAAATAAATAAACAAATTATCAAAAAATTTGTTCGTCCTTAAAATCTTCGTCTCTACGTATATATTTCAATTTTCATATAGATACCTTTTAATATACTTTAGACACAGGGTCTGAAAGAAAAATTCATCAATTTATTTTTTATTTCCATTTTACGTTTTTGTTAGTTGCGTCCTTCTTTATGTAACCCGACGACGGCAGAATGTAACCCGGCCGGCTCGTGTCGCCTCACGCTGTGTGCAGTAGACAAAGAGTATAATAACTGTCCTAGCAGTAGGTTTCAGTTTTGTTGGGGTTCGTTATTAATTGTAGTTTTTGAAACAGTTCCGTGTTGATTTTGTACACGCGTGCGCGAGCGACAGCTCAATCGTATTGTTATTACTTGTGATTACGTGTTGGTATTGTTCTTGTTGTTACGTTTTTTGTTTTAATAATGCTTAACGCGTACTTTTATAGTGATTGTGAATACAGCAACATGTTATCCGAACCCAGGTACACGAAGTATCGCCAAATAAATTGTTAAGACGTCGGGATGGAACAAGTGTGTCATACTGTGCAGTGCACAAAGTGTTGAAGCGTAACCGAATGCGCCCATACAAATTGCACAAAGTGCAAGCTTTAGTTCCCGGCGATCACGACCGCCGACGAGTTTTCTGCCGTTGGTTATTATACCAGCGACAACGTGTGCCTGGTTCCATTGAGCACATTATCTGGACGGATGAGTCGACATTTACCAGAAACGGCCTGTGGAACCGAAGAAATACACACGTGTATTCAGAGGTTAACCCGCACGCTGTTCGACAAACCGGGCACCAAACCCGATGGTCGGTTAACGTATGGGCAGGTTTATTTAAGGATCGCATACTGGGACCAGTGTTTCTGCCACAGCGGCTGAACAGACAGCGATACCATGTCGTGAGGTTTGTCCGTGAGCGCCTCAATGAGCTATTTGGTAATCGCTGGATCGGCAGACTAGGACCACACGCTTGGCCACCTCGCTCACCAGATCTGACCCCGTTAGACTTCTTTTTGGTATGTGAAAGAAAGGGTTTTTAATCGTGAGTGTGATAGTGCTGACAAAATGCGCCAAAGGATCGTGGATGCTTTCGAGAAACTATGTACGGACTGTGTCGAAGACCACACGATGATGCCCCGCCTGCACCCAAATCTACCTTGAAATGAATGGAGCACAATTTGAGCTGCATCTCATAAGATCACGGAGGATTTAGAGCGGTAAGCTGTTTCATAACTATTTTTTTTTAAATAACTTAGTACTGAACTAATCTGAATAGGTACATAACTGAATACGTGAGAATAATAATAAACATACCTACACGATGAATAAAAACGCATGACTCCAACCTTGGTTACATTTCATTTAAGTATTTTTTCATTAGCGTATGTAGTGGTACGGCCCGCTAGTTGCGGGCCGCGCGAATTTGCGTTCGCGAGTACATTGACCTTTAGTCAGGTGATACAATTCAGTCATTCTACTGCTGGTTTTATGTTTCAGTATTTTCATGATATTTTTTATGAAATTATCGTTTCATTTAGCTGTACTAACATGATGACGCGTGAATAAAGCTAATAAAACGTTGTTAAAAGATGATTTTTTTTTCATCAGGATCGAATTTATTTGTGACCCATGATCAAAGGTATACTTGGTGCTGTCGCCTGTCTTAGTTTTCGGGAGCGTTCCAAAAATACCCTGTATATATATATATACAAATCATCAATATATATATACTAGCTCGCCAGGCAGACGTTGTTCTGCCCTTTCCGACGACTCTTCCTATGAAAATACTTAAATTCGCAATAAAAAATTTTGAGGGTCATTTAACGGGATAAAAATTATCCTATCTCACAAGTTGGACCGAAATGCACACAGTGTGAAAAATTTCATTGAAATCAGTTCAGTAGTTTACGAGTCCATCGCGGACAAACAACGTGACGCGTAATTTTTATATATAAAGATATATAAAAACTATAGTATATATAGTAGGACTCACACTTTGAGGTTTCTGTATATATATATATACGGAAACCTCAAAGCGTGAGTCCTACTTGCACTTGTCCGTTTTCCCTTATGGCCTTTATATACACAAGCAATATGTTGCATTTACTTTTGACGAAAGAATTTATATTATGAAATGAAAAACGTAATAACAAACCGCTATTGATCTTTAATGATTTTATATCCTCTTGGTTCTTACACTTTAGATTGATCAACTTCGCGATCGTAGAAATCTTTTAATATCTGTTGGTCCATTATTGCTTCGTCACAATATTTCATTTTTTTGAGATATCCTATGCGCATTTCATATACGTCTTTGGTCAAGATTTCTTTAAAAGCTGGTGTGCTGATCATATTGGCAAAAAACTTTCGATTGCTTGAATATTTAGGGTTAAATCCGACTGTTGTTTTCATCGGATAATTGACAAAATTATGTAGATTATCCGTTATAAACCTGTGTATTACAACATCTCGATGATAATAATAAACAATAAAAACAGTTAACAATAATATATATATATATATATTCAAGATAGTGCATACTATTCATTTTAAGTCATATTTATTTAAGTTTAATTTAATCAACTACGGGTTCGGAAAATACCTTTCTCCTGTGAAGAAGTAGTTCGAAATCGAGCAGATTAAAAAAAAGAAAACAGTTTATAATTTTTTTTGTAGAATTAAGTAATTATAAAATTAATAAAAAAACATGCGTGAGTGTCGTGGAACACTCGGTTGGAAAAAAAGTTCCTTTCGTAGTAATTTTTTTAAATACTAGTAATGCTATTAAATTACTAATATTCCCTTAAACCACTTCTGTTAAGCTTAAAATGATTATATTAGAAGTGGTTTACGACAGTAGTTAAATGGCGGATACGAACCCACGACCTTTCGAGTTCGAGGTCCGCGCCCTACCATTAGGCTATTGACGCTTCTAATATATTATTATTGATAAACGTATTATATTATGGATTAACAAATACAAATAAATAAATATCCAGCGTCTATTAAACTGAAGCGTCATTTAAAATAAAATAATATTTCTTTCATGGCAAGATAAGAAAAAGTGCGAGGGAGACAGAGCACACGTCCCGTCGTACCGTCCAATAAAGAATTTCGTTCCAATAATAATCCTTTTATATATTTATTCAGCCCAACCAGATAAGAATACCTTATAAATACCCTTTTATAATAGTATTAACTTTTAATAAACGTGGTAGAGCCATGCTGCAGCTATATTAGTAGTATAGTTGTAGCACGAATGGGTCGGCTCAACCGGGGAAGAACCACGCTCTCACAGAATACCAGCGTAAAATAGCAGCTTAACGCTGCTGTGTTTCGTATGGTGAGTGTAGAGAACCGGAGATCCTTTTTACTGGAAATGAGGCATTCCATCTTAGTCCTTACGGGTGACAACGCATCTACATTTTGATTTGTAATCGAGGATAGATGTAGATGTCTATGGGCCACAGCAACCACTTACCATCAGGTGGACTGTGTGCTCGTTTGTCAACCTTATCCTATAAAAAAAATTATATCGAAATTGATTGGTAGTGATCACCTCATTGTCTGGGCTTAATGTCAGCCATATCTATATAAAATATATAGTTAATGATATATAAATTAAATAAAAATTGTATCTATACAAATAAATAAAATTGAAGTATCTGATTGTAATGTCAAAATAACAGCTTTTTACTAAATGCATATGAAAATAAATACGGTATTTATAACTAAAATACAATTTTAAAATTTTTGTCTGCCTGTCTGTCTGTTTATTCCGGCTAATCTCCGTAACAGCTGGACCGATTTTGACGGGACTTTCTCTGGCAGATAGCTGATATCATAAGGAGATACTTTTGTTTTAGAAAAAGAATTAGGGTTCCGCGAAAAAAAAACCCTAACACGCGCGTGAAGTCGCGGGGAACAGCTAGTTGTATAATAAATTATGCTGCACTAAGAGAGTCCACCACCTTATTTCCTCCCGTGATATGTAGTAAGCTCGTAAGCGAATGTGGGTTTGTGAATGTAGCGCCGCCACATCATTCCCTTGCTCAGACGGTTAAACGATAATGCAATCTTGTTGCCGGTGCGTTCTTAATGCTGGTAGAGAATGCATGCTGTGTGCGTAAGGGTACGTAGTATTATTATTTATCCTGTGCTAAGGGCAAGTAACGCCGGTGCGAACGATATGCCGGTGTGTAATGTATGCCGTAATACGCACTTGCAAGTGATGCCGGTGAGAACGATGTGTCGGAGCAAGTGCCAGAAGTCTGCCTTATAAATATATGGTCGAGAGTACTATTTCGTATACATGTCAAATATAAAATGTTCGGCGGGGAGCAATAACAAAGGCGCGAGTGTTCTGGTACTGGATCGCAAATCGACTTGCTAAGTGTGGTTCATAATGGCAAATCCTTGAAATATGAGGTTATAGTGAGAAAGTAGGAAACTGTAACCATGAGAAGTTGTTAGCATTGGATGCGATAAAACCAATTCTTAGACTACATAGTTAAGAAAATTCATTTACACTAACATGAAGTCTCTTTGTGCTACGTATGGCAGGTGTCGAGGGCCTGGGATCGAACATCATAGATATTAAGGGTGATAAACCTAGAAGGAAGATGTCACTCGGTAGGGATAGGAATAAATATAATATAATATAATATTTTTTAAATATAAGCTTACTGTTGGTTCGGCATAGGCGTATTGACACATTGTTCGAACATTTCATAAAAATTACTTGTTGTTTCGAAGGCTATTTGGAAAGCTGCACTTAATCTGCTAAAATGTTCAAATTGAATGAAAATGTGACGAAAAACTTTTGTGATTCAATGTTAATAATGCACACCTTCCGATCATCGGATCTAAAACAGATGACACCGCTATCTGCACGAGCTGAAAAATTGTAAAAATAATATAATATTTATTTTCGTTCATACTGCTGAGTTGTAACGAATTGTTTCAACTGCTTTTATAGGCAACTAAAATAAATTTTATGAAATAAATAACTTTGTTCTTTACAAAACAGTAATACTAAATTTCACAGCATTTCGAATATAAAATATATACTCGTAGATGCAATAAAAATGATAAGCTTGGAACTTGATTTCCATATTTTTTTCGAGACTAGATTTTTTGTAAATCTAAAAGATTTTGAGTAACTAGTAAAAAATATTTCAGACTTTAATAACAGCACTACACTCATTTCATTCATTTATTGTTTATATTTTTTTGTATATTTTCTAAATTATAATGTATGCATAGGTTCGTAAATATTTAATCACTAGCTGTTCCCGCGGCGAAGCTCGCGTATATAGCATAGATAAATAAATATGTAGCAAGGTAAGTATATAGGTTTTACTTAAAGAATTTGACGTTTAGGTAAGAGAATATTAAACGATTTATATCATTACTGTATCAATAAGTGGTAACAAAATAAATCGTTATCCTGAAAGTTCTAAGTCGTTTATGATAGAGTAAACGATGTTAGAAGTAGACTTAGCCGGGGCGTACACAAAAAGTTTACGGAGGCTATTAACGCGGAAAAAAGTAACTTAGAGTTGGCCGTGTGCGAAACCACGGAATATATATACTTTTTATATTACGTGTGCAAAACAGTCAGTACTCAGGTCCACTCCTGCAACGTGTTGACCTTGCGCTTTATTTACGGTCATCGCATAACACACGGTGAAAGAAAGTTATTTGGTATTAGCGGCATTTTGAGAGCACAAAGAAGTTGGCTTGGAAGTATGACCGCTCAGATTAATGAATAGGTGCACATAATTGCTCACTAAATGCTCAATTCAAATCCGCAATTGCTCACATTATTAATTTATTATTTATTTAGTTATTAATAATTAAAAGTACAGAATTGTTTTTGCGTATTATACTTAAACCAATAAACTTTTTTTTTAAATGAATAACTGCTCATAATTGCTCACAAAATGCTCAATTTAAATCCGCAATTGCTCACACTATTAATTTATTATTTAATTAGTTATTAATAATTTAAAATACAAAATTGTTTTGCCTATTATACTTAAAATCAAAAAAACATTTTTTTTAATGAATAAGTACTCATAATTGCTCACAAAATGCTCAAATTAAATCTGCAATTGCTCACATCATTAATTTATTATTTAATTTGTTATTAATAATTAAAATACAAAATTGTTTTTGCCTATTATACTTAAAATCAAAAAACTTTTTTTTAAATGAATAAGTACTCATAATTGCTAACAAAATGCTCAATTCAAATCTGCAGTTGCTCATACTATTAATTAATTGATAATTAGTTATTTAATTACTTATTAATAATTTAAGATACAAAATTGTTTTTGCCTAAACCGCTCAGATTAATGAATAAGTGCTTTAAATTGCTCACTAAATGCTCAATTCAAATCTGCAATCGCTCACATCATTAATTTATTATTTAATTAGTTATTAATAATTTAAAATACAAAATTGTTTTTGCCTATTATACTTAAAATCAAAAAAACTTTTTTTTTTAATGATTAAGTGCTCATAATTGCTCACAAAATGTTTAATTAAAATCCGCAATTGCTCATACTATTAATTATTCATTTAATTAGTTATTATTAATTAAAATTATTAAATTGTTATGGCTAAACCGCTCAGATTATTGGATAAATGCTATAAATTGCTTACTAAATGCTTAATTCAAATCTGCAAACGCTCACATTATTAATTTATTATTTAATTAGTTATTAATAATTTAAAATACAAAATTGTTTTTTCCTAAACCGCTCAGATTCATGAATAAGTGCTCGTAATTGCTCACTAAATGCTCAATTTAAATCTGCAATTGCTCACATTATTAATTTATTATTTAATTAGTTATTAATAATTGAAAATACAAAATTGTTTTTGCCTATTATATTTAAAATCAATAAAAAAGTTTTATTAAATAAAAGCTCATAATTGCTCACAAAATGCTCAATTTAAATCGGCAATTGCTCACGCTATTAATTAATTATTTAATTACTTATTAATAATTTAAAATACAAAATTGTTTTTGCCTAAACCGCTCAGATTAATGAATAAGTGCTATAAATTGCTCACTAAAAGCTCAATTCAAATCTGCAATTGCTCACATTATTAATTAATTACTTAATTAGTCATTAATAATAAAACGTACAGAATAATTTTTGTCTATTATACTTAAAATCAAAAAACTTTTTTTTAAATGAATAAGTACTCATAATTGCTAACAAAATGCTCAATTTAAATCTGCAATTGCTCACACTATTAATTAATTATTTAATTAGTTATTTATAATTTAAAATACAAAATTGGTTTATCCTAAACCGCTCAGATTAACCAATAAGTGCTCATAATTGCTCACTAAATGCTCAATTTAAATCCGCAATTGCTCACACTATTAATTAATTATTTAATTATTTATTAATAATTTAAAATACAAAATTGTTCTTGGCTAAACCGCTCAGATTAATGAATAAATGCTAAAATTGCTTACTAAAGCTCATTTTAAATTTGCAATTGCTCACATTATTAATTTATCATTTAATTAGTTATTAATAATTTAAATTACAAAATTGATTTGGCTAAACCGCTCACATAAATGAATAAATGCTTATTGCAGAATTGTTTTTGCTTATTATACTTAAAATCAATAATTTTTTTTAAAATGCATAAGTACTTATAATTGCTCACAAAATGATCTATTTATATCTGCAATTGCTCACATTATTAATTAATTATTAAATTAGTAATTAATTATTTAAAATACAAAATTTTTTTTGGCTAAACCGCTCAGCTTAATGAATAAATGCTGTAAATTGCTCACTAAATGCTCAATTTAAATTTGCAATAGCTCACACTATTAATTAATTATTACATTATTTATTAATAATTTAAAATACGAAATTGTTTTCTCCTAAAACGATCAGATCAATGAATATGCGCTCATAAGTGCTCACTAAATGCTCAATTCAAATCTGCAATATCTCACATTATTAAAATATTATTTAATTAGTTATTAATAATTAAAAATACAAAATTGTTTTTGCCTGTTTTACTTAAAATCAAAACACTCTTTTTTAAATGAATAAGTGCTCATAATTGCTCACAAAATTCTCAATTTAAATCTGCAATTGCTCACACTATTAATTATTTATTTAATTAGCTATTATTAATTAAAATTATTAAATTGTTATGGCTAAACCGCTCAGATTAATGGATAAATGCTATAAATTGCTCACTAAATGCTAAATTTAAATTTGCAATTGCTCACACTATTAATGTATTATTTAATTAGTTATTAATAATTTTAAATACAAATTTTTTTTTCTCCTAAACCACTCAGATTAATGAATAAGTGCTCTTAATTGTCCACTAAATGCTCAATTCAAATCTGCAAATGCTCACATTATTTATTTATACTTTTTTTATTTAAACTTTTTTTTAAATGAATAAAAGCTCATTATTGCTCACGAAGTGCTAAAATGAATTCCGCAATTGCTCACATTATTAATTTATTATTTAATTAGTTTTTAATAATTTAAAATACAAAATTGTTTTTGTCTATTTTACTTAAAAGTAATAAACTAATTTTAAAATGAATATGCGCTCATAATTGCTCACTTAAAACTCAATTCTAATCTGCAATTGCTCACATTATTAATTTATTATTTAATTCATCATCATCATCATCATTACAGCCCTTCACAAGTCCACTGCTGAACATAGGCCTCCCCCAAAGAAAAGCCAGGAATAGCGGGGCCGCCGGGGACTGGGGGCCGTTTTTTTGTTGCTCTCATCATTGGGGGGTATTTGCCATAGTTGCCACGCTTGGCGAGCGGGTTGGCAACCGCAGTTTTTTTATTGTAATTTGGCTATTATCAGGAAGATGCTGCTGCCCATCTCCTGGCTGTTTCCCTTTGTCGCCTTTTACGACACCCACGGGAGGATATGGGGTAGTGGATATTCTTGACCGCCACTACACGGCATTATTTAATTAGTTATTAATAATTTAAATACAAAATTGTTTTTGCCTATTATACTTAAAATCAAAAAACATTTTTTTTAATGAATAAGTACTCATAATTGCTCACAAAATGCTCAAATTAAATCTGCAATTGCTCACACTATTAATTAATTATTTAATTAGTTATTAATAATTTAAAATACAAAATTGTTTTTTTAAAAAAAAACATTTTGTGAGCAATTATTAGCAGTTGTTCATTAAAAAAAAGTTTATTGATTTTAAGTTTAATAGGCAAAAACAATTCTGTACTTTTAATTATTAATAATTAAATAAATAATAAATTAAAAATGTGAGCAATTGCGGATTTGAATTGAGCATTTAGTGAGCAATTATGTGCACCTATTTATTCATCTGAACGGTCATACTTCCAAGCCAACTTCTTTGTGCTCATTTTGGGTATGTAGAAAACATTGATTTATATGTTACACTAGATAGCGTTGCCTCGCCAAAGCGTGCCACTTCACATATGGCTACAGCCATATGCACACGCCTAGCTAACGTCGGTTCAGTGTTTAATGTGACACCGACCGAGTTGAGCCGAACGATTCACGACAAAAAAATGGGTAAATGCGTAGTGAAAAAATGCGATTCAAGGTCACAAAAACATAATTAATCAAGCGGAATCACTTTCCACGCGTAAATTTTAGTTTATGTTTTCATATTAACGTAATAAAAGCAAAAAATGAAATAAAATATCAAATATTGCAATTTAGGTTCAATGTTGCCACTTTTCTGACTTTCCAATTTTCCCATATTACAATACTACGACTATATAATTTATGGAATAAGTTAACTTGTTAGCCCTGATTTTAAATAATTTGGAAATTGTAATAAAAACTATGTTTCAACCTTTATACAAAGGAATTAATTATTTTTATTTAAGAATATTCATGAATGATCTACTAATTAT